TACTAAGTTAAGAATAATTTAGATCTTATTAGAGTAGGTAAATTTCTAGTCTAGAATAATAAAGCTTTATTAGATATTTCTAAACACTACGCCTTTAGTCTTTTAATATAGATAGTTTATTTTTTTAGTTTTAGAAGTAAACTTATATTTATAGTAATTAAACTAGTTAGTAATATCTATTTTCTACTTAATATAGTTAGTCTTAGTAGTACCTTTACTAAAAAAGATATTAAGTTTATACTTCTTAGAATAGAGTAAGTAATAGTTATAACTATTCTTAGCTTCTATTTTTAAAGTAGAAAAAATACTATAGTAATAGTACTTATAATAGCTTAATAGGCGTGCTAGGTAATAAGCGTCTAACTTATTACTATTAGAGGTATCTAAGTTATCTAGTAAAGTAGTACTAGTCTATAAGTAATAAAATACTTAGTTTTTATAAGCACTATTCTTAGTAAGCTTAAGATAAGCTTAGAAGTTAGTAATACTAGTATTTAAGACTTAAGTAGTACGCTAAGCGTTCTACTTAGTAGTAAGATATACTATATACTCTTTATAGTATCTATTCTTATAAGTAGTTTTATAGATAGATATTTTATAAAAACTTATAGTAACTTACTAAAAGTTTTAATAATTAATATATATAAAGCTCTAGACGTTATAAAGTTATTTACTTAGCTAGATAATATAATAGTTAAACTTAGAAAGTTAGTCTTAAAGCTATATAATATATTTAGTAGACTTATTAAAGTTATTCTTAAAGCCTTTATACTTATTCTAAGTATCTTAGACTTTAAAAAGTAAAGTTTTTATTTATATAATATACTTTATAAAATAGTTACTAAGATAGTCTATACGTATATATTTATTACTAATATCTACTTATATAAAGTATAGTTATTTTATTATATTAGTAATAATTAATAATAAGTTAAGATTAATACTTATACTTTTTAAATTATTAAGCTTAAAAACTTTATTTTATTAAGAAGCTTTCTTATCTATATCTATTACTTATAACTTAAAAGTAGTAATATTATTTTTCTAAAGAATAATAAAGAACTTAGAGAGCTAGCGCTTAAAGTATAGATACTTAGAAAGTAAGTTTATAGTAGTAGTAAGTAAGACGTTAGTAGTAGATAAAGTATTATAAAAGCTTAGCTTCTACTAAGAGCTATACTAAGTATTTTCTATATCTAAGTTATTATTAATAATAGTTTTTTATAATAGGTAACGCTATACACTTATAGAAGAATAGTAGATAGTATCTTAGTTAGTAGAAGCCTTAGAGTTACTAAAGATAATAGACTTTTTACTCTAGTAAGTAGTAATAGTAGTAGAGAACTTACTATTACTATCTAAGTTAGAGAGCTATTTACTAGTAGCTATATTAATAAACTAGAATCTATTAGTGTTATTATCTAGTAGAGCCTTATTACTATATAATATAAAGTAACTAGATACTTATATATTATAATACTATTCTTAGTAAAGATCTTAGGTACTTAGTAATTATAAAAGGCTACTACTAGAAGTATAGAAAGTAGAGAGTAGTACTATCTAAAAGTAAGTCTAGAACTATAATAGCTATAATAGTACTATTATAAATAAAAAGGCGCTACCTATAGTATAGAAGAACTATTCTAATATCTAGAACTTCTAGAGTTCTTTAGTAGAACTAACCTTAGTGTAGTTTATAGTAGTAGTAGTATTATACTAATAGTAGAAAATAGAAAGTATAGCGTATAAGTTAATAGTAGACTTAGATATAGACGTAATATCTTCTAGAGTCTTAGATATATTATAGTAGTAAATAATCTCTATAGTATTTTTATAGACCTTAAGATATAGAGAACTAAAATACTTAATAAAGTCTATAGTAATTAATAAAGCTACTCTTTTAAGTGCGCTATTAGATAAGTATATAGTTAACTATAATAATATATAAAAGTCTTATATATATTAATAATAAAAGTATATAAAATAATAATATTATTATAGTAGAGAGCTTTAGAGAGAAGCTATTAGAGGTAAATATATATAGTAGAAGCGTTAACCTAATATTAAACTAATAGAGCTCTAGGCCTAGAACTATTATACTATCTTATATACTATATAATATCTAATTACTTATATATACTATACGTATTATATTATATTATATATATATACTAATATACTAAATATAGCTTTATATTTAGCTACTCTTATAAAAATACTATTACTAGTAATATTATAATACTACTTATTCTAATATAATACTTAACTAATATATTATATACGCTTTATAAACACTACTTAAGTAATATAAAAGTATATTTCTAGACTATTTTATACTTTAAGCGCTTTTATAAACTTAGTTTTATAAGCTTTTAAGTTAACTTTATTATCTATATTATAGCTTAATAACTTTAGTAGCTTACTTTACTTTACTATAAACGCTTTCTTTATATTATTTATATTACTTATCTTTTATAAGTCTATACTATATAGCTATATATATATATACTATATACTTACTTAATTCTTTATATTCTTAAAGAGATATATAAATAGTTTAAGCTTTAGTACTAGCCTTAATAATAAAGCTTTTTTATTCTTTTTATTTTTTTTACTAATACTAGCTATCTTTTTATATACTACTATCTTTATATTTAGAAACTTAAAGTCTACTTAATTTATAATTTTATTTAGATATACTTTTAATACTACTTATTATTAGCTATATATATATATATATATATATATATATAATATAAAAGTACTTACTAGTTATAACTAGTTCTAGAATAAGAGAAAGTATTATCTTATTTAATACTTTTAAATATTTAGAAGTTTTTATAAATATTTAAAAATACTTTTTTTACTTTAAAGTTTTTATAAAGAATATATACTTCTTTACTACTACTTTTTTATAACTAAACTACTCTTTTAGCTTTTACTTTTTAAGTTTTTTTTTTACTTTAGCTTTTTAGCTACTATACTTTAAAATATAACTTAAATTAATTTAGATTATTTATTACGTTTTAGCTACTTAACTTATACTTACTATAATTATACTTTCTATTCTATCTATAGCTACTATAATTACGCTTACTACTTCTTTTTTATCTTAACTAGCTTAATAATACTAAATTTATAATATATAGCTTATTTATTTTTATAATAGTAATAGTAATAGTAATAGTAAAGCTATAATTACTATTTTTAATAGCTATTTATAATACTATACTAAACTTATATAACTATTTTTTTAACTTTTATAGTAGTATTAAACTATATAATAACTACTACTAGTATTTTTATTTATATATTAAATACTATATATAAAATATAAAATCTTTTTTATTTATAAAATACTTTTTTTACTTTAAATATAAGCTTAGTAGTTATTATATATAAAATTTACTTTTATATTTATTTTTTACTATATATTTTATAAAGTAGTAATTTAGGTTTTTACTATTTTAGTATTTTTAATACTTAGTATAGCTACTTTTAAGTATTTCTTTAAAGTAGTAGTATTAATATTAATAGTATTAAAAGACTTAATATATACTTATTTTTTACTATTTTTAATATTTAAATATATTTCTTAAAAGCTAAAAAAAGTCTTTTTATTAAGAAATTACTAAACTTAAGTAAAGCTTAAGTTTATATAAAAGTTAAAAACTTAATTTAAAAAAGTAAGTAATTAGTTAAAAATAAAAATAATACTATAAAAGCTTACTAAGCTAATAAAAGTAAGTCTTAATAAATAAAGTATACTTAAATATAAAACTTAAAAGTAAGAGTTTTTAAGATTATATAAAATAAAAATATTAATATTATTAAAAGTATTTATTTTATAGTAATAGCTTTAAAAAGTAAAAAGTTATAAAAAGTTCTAATAAAGTATAAGTATAAAAAATAGTAGTAAATATATAAAAAAATATACTAACTTATATATAAGAATATATAGTATTTTTACTTTATAATTTACTTTATAACTTATTTTAATAGTTATTTAGCTAATAAGCTATAGTTATATTACTATTTTATTTAAATTTTAAAATAATAAAGTAATTATATTACTTATATAGTAATTTTTTTAAAATAAGCTACTTACTAAAGTATTAGTAGCTAAGCTAAAAAGGCTTAGTACACTTTTACGTATACTTATAAAGTATATATTAAACTTTAATTATAACTTTTAAAATACTTAGTAAAGAGCTATTACTTATTTAAGACTTAATTTTTTTTTAGATTTAAGATACCTCTATACGCTGTTTACAACAAAACACGTAATAGTGGGGTAGACGCGCACGGTGCGCACTTTGCCGCGATGCCACTCAACGAAACGCGAGGCGTCATGAACGACAACGCGACGCCTTCTCTCTTCTTTTTCTTCGTCTCCTTCGTCTTCTTCTTCTTAGTTGCGCGCTCATCTACCGAGGCAGTGACGCCAACTCACAATCGACTGCCGACTCGCTGCCAGACCACGTCGACGCACCTGGGCAGTGCGCGCTCAACTGTTGTTCATGCAGAAGATCATACCGGGGGACAGAGATGCAACCCCGCGAGAAGAGCTGGCCCAATGTAGGAGTATAGACATCGGGCCAGAGTGGTATCTTTAATCTCCGGAGTCTTAGTAACAGTTAGCTGCTTACTTACTGTAACTGGTCACCATATACGTACGTTAGACATGACAACATAACAACGTAGACCTTCTAGTTCATTATAACGTAATGACTAAGATTGGCAAGAGCAAGAGAAGCTTACAATACCTGGGTACGCTTTGTGCAAATGCAGACTAAAACACGTGTAAATCCTTTAATGTCGCAATAGATGTCGCAATAGATGTCGCTAGACATCTATCGAGGGAAACATTTGTAAGAGCAAGAAATGTATAACTATAGTCGCACTATTCCATACATGGAAACTGATGTCGCACAACGGCAAACCACCGGAACAACTTTCCTGACCTCTGAAGCCCAACTCGCATCCAATTGACTATTCTACTACTCGTTGCGATCAGGTTGATCGTACCGGTTCCCGAGCTTGAACGCTCGGTCAGCTTCAGTCATGTCCTCGTGCGTTGCCTTGTTGTACGCCTTGAAAGCTGCAGATAATTGCACTACTTGACTCAAGTGCGCTTCTGTAAGTTGGGGAACGCAATCCGCCTCCGGGCGACCCTTTTGCTTTGCTGTTTTTGAGGCAGCGATTGCGAGAGCAACAGCAGTCTGGAAAGCTGATGAAGGTCAGTATAAGCTGTCAAACATTTCCCGAAGCTAGTACCCACCGTTCCGTATCTCTCGCCCGTTCCAGTGGAGACTTTTGACCTCTTCGCTTTTTCGTACGTATTGCTTAGCGTCGTAGTCGTAGTCGATCCTCGGTCCTCCATCCCTATGGTTTTCTTTGAGTCGTCTGAAGAAGGAATCCCAGATCTGTTCTCGAGCTTGATCGTCTAACGGCTCGTAATTGATAGCCACATGTATTCGTGACATGAATGCTTCATCAAAGTGTCCAACCCGATTCGTTGTGAAGAATATAATTCCTTCAAAGTAATCGAGCGCACGCAGGAAGACTGTATCACTGTCAACAGGAGCTGATAATACTTGGGCCTGGCTAGCTCTTACTGGAAACGATGCCGTTACGTCTTAGATCCTCGGAAGACCGTTGCGCGAGATAGATGTCTGCTTCATCTAACAACACTATTGCATCCCAGGCTGCCGCATTCTTGAAAAACCGTAGAAGGTTTTGCTCTAGTTCGATAGGTTCGTGCCCTAGATCAGCTGCTGTTATACTAAGCAGCGGTCGTTTTGTGTATTCTGCGACAGATTCTAGATAACATTAGAAAATATCTAGAGTCGAATGATAACCGTACCAGCTGTAAGTGTCTTTCCAGTCCCTGGTGGTCCATGCAAGAGAAATATTTGACCTTCGCCCTTTCCGCGTATGAAGTCGACACCCATGAGTTCGGCTTGGCTATCGCTATCGGTGTATGTTTTGACGATGGCTTTGATCATATCTTTGTTCCTCTCTGGGCGCATAACGAGCTCGTCGATTGCATTTTCTGCAAGAGTGGGCTCCCTTAGACTGTTTACATCGAGAATGTCTACGACTGTCAACTCTCGCCAATGCTAGAAGAAGCAGCTGGTCTACATACCGTACGTCCGATCTTTGAGAATGAATCCGAACATGTGTGACATGCACAACAGTGCCTGATGCTCGGATAATCCTTTTACTTGACTGGGGTCAAGGGAATCGTAGTCGCTGAAAGTGAGAGATATGCTGGCTCCCTTTGTACTATCGACAAGCTTGCATTCGAAGCACTCGCAACGAGGAACCCTGGCTCGCGATCCTGGGACTACCGGCCCTGCCCCTTGATATAATGGCGGTGGCAAAGAGGCATAAGTGTTTCTGGGAATTGGACGAGGCTCATCAATCGTGGAAAGAGCCCATTCACTTGCTCTGGAGAATTCGCTAAGTGTCCATGGTAATGACTGGTGTTCCACGACTACTCGAGCCCGATGGTACTTGACTCTCTAGTCAGACATCGTCTTAGATCAGCAATGTATGTTACGGACCTTTTTTGTGCCCTGTTTCAACCCTGACCCTGAGTATTCCAGAAAGGTAGGCCCTTTCGCATAGCAAAAGACCTTCTCTCCCCTCTCGATCAGCGTACGCCGTAGATTACCGCCATCCAGCTGGTCCCGGAAATACGTCGGAAAGATAGGCAAGGACATTATTTCGCGTTCCCCGTCAAACACAGGTACGCTTATGATCTTTGACTTCCTCTTGATGACCTTGCCGTCAAAGACAAGGTACCACACATGCATTTCGTAGTCACTTGCTCTCACCGTCCGCGAACTGTATTCCATTCCACCGTATACCATTTCCAACACACAAGCATTCAGTTGTCCATATTCTGTGATGTAGACGTCAGATCCAGGCTTCAATAGCAGCCAGAAACCCGCAAACGTCGTAGTAGGCACTTTTTGGGCCCACAGGTTCTTGACTGACTGAAGCTGTACAGTAGATTCTTTGTCCAGGTAGTCGAGTAAGACGCTAATATGACGGTCGCATTTGTCATTGTCTTCCAAAGTGTGGTTTGCTCGCGCGCTATTTGAACCGTTTTGATAGTCAAGTAATTCCTCCCGGTGGTGATAGAGCTCCTTGAATGGGAATGGAAATATACCGTCTACTAGCGTTTCAGTATCATTCGACGAGTATTTGACAAGGGATCGTAAGGCGTTGAGCAGAAGAGACGACCTGATTTGGAGCCTCTTTGGTCGGACAGTATCGCCGGGACCGAGAATAAGGCTTGAATCGGAAACATTACCACCGTCTTTCTTCCTGGCACCTGTCGACTTTCCTAAGACAATGTGATGGATTTCCTCAAGAACATGGTCAGACTCGCCATTGAGATTTGAACTTTGAATCACTACAGGTGTGGCCCAAGTTTTGCTGTACAGGAAGTTTTCCGGGTCTCCGCTGAAATGCGATTTGGAGTGAAAGTCAATCCGGTACTTCACTGCCATCATTGCCGATTCCATTGTACTCTGTGCATCGGCCGTTTCCTGCTTAGCCGTGGTGGGTGAGGGCGATAGAGGTACTCCAGAACGACCAGGTGGGTACGAGCTACCATATTCGGAGTCTGAGTCAGTATCTTCTTCCTGTGAGTCCAGTCTGATCTCCACACATTGCCAGGGCCTAACGCTTAGGTTCCAGTGCTCGGGCAGGAAGAACGATCTACCTTCCGTTTGCCGAAGCGTGAATGTGCCTTCATCTATGCTCTCCTTTGCGCCTTCGTCAGACCCGTATGTGAGCTTGATGATCTCTTTCATCCACTAACAATGTCAGCGAAACAGCTAGGTCCTTCCGCTTCGGTATATGATTCACATACAGTCCATTTTTCACATAATACCCATGGAACATCGAAAGAATCACCCCGATAATGGGACAAAGTTAGGACCCGGGGATCCCGAAACTCTAGAGAGCTGGTGCTGGAGGGTTTTGAGCCAAGAGGGTCGAGGTTGTATTTTTGAAGCCCATGGATTTCGTCAATCTCACATAGGGCTATAATGAGATCATCACCCTGTTTCCTGATGCGAAGTTTATGATCCTTTGGTGATTCATCTGCTTACTTGTCAGTCAAATACTGCTACGACAACGACGCTAGTTTCAACATGGCATACTCAGTTCTTGGAGCTTTTCACTGTCGTGGGGAGCTATTGCGTTGCAAAACGGCTGTGACTCATTCGTCTCCCCTGTGGCTGGCTCGGCTGTCCTAATCGAAGTGTTTTCAGCCTCGCGACCCTCCACTCCCAGAGTGGGGTCTAGGAGCGTACTGGTGGACATCGATGATCGGCAAGGCAAGAAACAGGCAAGTGAGAAATGCAGATGCTAGAAAAACAGATGGGACGCAAGAACAAATCGGGGATATGGAGGGTGTTATCAACGGCGAGCGGTGGCATAAGCATGATAAGCCTGTTGAGGCTGCGCAGCGACTTGACCGGAAACTTGGCATGCATAGAGTTCAGCGAATGGTGGGTGTGCATGAAGATTGTTGCGTCACAAGGCATACAACGCAGCCGGCTGTGCAAAAGCGCCACAAATCTATACGAGCCTGCCGTAGAATGCCCCGCTTTAAGAACCACGATTAGCTGGAATACAACATGAATTCCGACAAAAACCGTCTTGTCTTCGACATCTTGGACGATCGATAGACATTCAGATCAGTAATACTCTGCTCGCTTAGGTGAGTATAGGTTCAGTGACCAATCAGACAGGTGCCCGCGTGGCCTCATTTAATCTTACACCCTTGATACTCAAATCGATTGACCCCGCGAATGGATTGGCGTGTATGGACGAGTCAAAGATGAGATACGCCGTCGTCCAGCGACGATGGACGGACGAGCTTACACGGTCCGAGACTACTTCCCGTGGGTCAGGGCTGGTTCAGGATGGGAAAAGCATCAAGTATGTGGAGGAAGAGCGGTCAAAGCAGCTGTTTGAGTGCCCAAGTCAGGATGATGAGAGGTCAGTCGCTCCTTCGCGCACCTTTGCGAACATTTGGAACTTACCAGAGTAGTTTTGAGGTGGTAAACATCGCAAGAGAAGAACTTGGGAAGATGATTGCAAGGTTCGATACGGATACAAAGTTGTCTTCTTGGCCAAAATTAGGATCGTCGAAGAAGTCTGCAAAAGCCAAAGTAGCCGAAGTGCTTCACAAATCAGCAGAGAACGAAATTGATGACCTCAAAAGTTCAGTTGAGAACCTTGGGTTGGAGTGGAAGCAGAAACATGGTCCAGTACGCCTCATGTTCGGACAAACTATGATGCTCTACTATCGCTGACCATAGGGAAGGTTTTTGCTGCTTTCAAGAAGATTTGCAGTACGCTCGACGACCACAAGAGCATTCTCAAGGTCTTCCCTTCTCAAAACAATTATACTTCCCCTCTGGTCGGCAGTGTAACGATTCTGATGAAAGTAAGAACCCGTTACAAGGAACGCACGGCATAGGTTCGGCGACTGACGCTAATAGGCCGCCCAATCCCACAGCGAAATCTCGCTCAAATTGTCCACATCGATTGCAGAAATATCAGAGAAGGTTTCGACATGCTCACATGTGCTATCGATAGTGAAGACAGCTCGAGCCAGAACAAAGCTCGCTGCCATCTATGCACGAATGTTCGACTTTTATCGGGCCGCGATAAGCTGGTATATGCAATCGAGCTTTGGCCGTTTAATGCGCAGCTTCAACGAGAATCTCATGAAAGAGTTTGAGGATGCAAAGAAAGACCTCGAGGTCGATGTTGTAGAGCTTTACCGAGAGGTTGCAATCGCCAATACCGCGATAGTTGCTATGGTCAACGGCCGGGTCAGGATTCTTGAAGATGAACTGCACCGGCAGCGACGTAACTACGAAGTACGTGACATGCTGGCTGGCCAACGAATGGAGAGGATATTGCAAGCGACATGGACAAACGTAGAGCAAGTTAAGAGCATGATAGCTTCCGCAACTCTTTCCAAGCCAGCAGAGATTGCGCAAAATCTCGTCGTCGATCCTCCAGCTTGTGGTTCAATATATAATCCTCGACATAACCTGGACGCTTTCATCATCGATAAAGAGCAACCGGGCTTCTCAGGCAAAGCAAACCTCTGGGTTTCCGAGAAAGATATCATACACAAACTTCGTCTGTGGATGACAGATAACACGAAATCGCGAACACTGTGGATATCAAGCCCGTTTAAGCCAGGCGTAGCCGTCCCGAGCTGTAGAGCAGCAGTCATGGCGACAATAGCTGCAGCATGGCAAGCGGAAACTCCGATCATCTCGTACTCCTGCAGCCGACCATCCAGGAATCAGTTGCGTCCCGGTATGAACGTCGAGCAAGTTGGAATGATCAGCCTGGTATACGGCTTCATCCGTCAGCTTTCACAATTTAGCAGAGTCGACGAGGAGTTCGAGAATCACGATGACGACTTCGCTGCTCTCAACGGAGAAGTCTCGTCCTGGGATGCCAGTCTGAGACTTCTGAAGATGCTCTTAAGAAAGGCGCCCGTCGTTACGTTTTGCGTGATCGAAAACCTGAATGATTTGGAATGGAATAACGGTGGAGTCTGGTGCAAGCAGCTGCTCGATGTTTTGAGAGAGTGCCAGCAGGAGACAGGCATTTCTTTCAATATTCTCTACTCGACGACTGGCCAATCGCGAGTGCTGCCTGCATACGTCAGCGTTAGGGATCGGCACATGACGTCAAGTCGAACATGACCTCATTCTGGAGTATGAACAGCCTTGCTCATCGATTTCTCAATGCGTACCTCAACAAGCACATGCAACCACCTCATACAAGAAAAAAACTGAACAGGTCTGCAGACTACGTTGACCCAAAACCTTGCAAAGTAGGTGACCTAAACGTCAACGTAGGCTCCAGGCTGTTCAGTTTTTCCCTAGATTGGCGTGCAACGGGCAAAGTAATCAGAAGCGTGCATACTTCGATAACGGGTATCACATGCCATTCACAATCTACCATCTCCATAACCATACCCTTCACACCTCATGCCACGCAATGCTGAACTTTTCTCCCTACACCCTTTCCCATGCCAAACGCCATGAAAATGCATACAAAAAGATACCCGCAGCCCATCACACCAGACTACAACATCTACCACCCCTGCCTCCTCCCCTTCTCC